CCACATCCCCAACCCATAATGTATTTCTTAAGAGCATGATCATCTTCTGGTAACACTTCCTCCATAATAGTTTCCATGATTTTAGATGAGTAGTATAATATATTGATTTGAAAGAATTTCACCAGCCTCTAAGTCTATTCTTTATTGACTTAATTTTCTCATGACAGGGAGATTTTCCTGATGCAACCAGCTGTTTAATTATGAAGTAGGTTTAAGTTGTTGGATTTAATAAAATTTGTGAAGCAGCTGATTTAAATTGTGCTAGTAATGCCACCTTTTGTAAGGTCTATGAATGTTATGTGGGTTTTGAAACTGCTTATAATAAAGTTGTAATCATTCTAACACCTGATAGCTACTGAAATCATGATAGATATGCTTAAGTGCTTTATATTCATATTTAACTTAATCCTTAGAATAACTGTGAGGTAGATGTTACTTAATCCCATCTTCTTATGGAACAGGAAAACTGGAGATTAGAGAAGTTAAGTAGCTTTCCCAAAGTCACACAACTAGTAAGTGGTGCAGACCAGATAGAATCTTTAGTTTGCTGGCTCTGGGATCTCCTTCTTCACTATTAATTCTGGCTGTCTTCTTTTTCTGAGTCTTGTGAATGAGAAATAGCTAAATGGAAGACTCTTGGCCAGAATTTTACTAGCACAAGTGGAGATGGTGGCTCTTGGTACCTCATGATCATTATGGTCAGTTTTGTTACCTTTATTCTAGACAGTTATGATGATGGCATATTTTAACATGTCTTTTCCAAAGCTTTATAGGATGAATAATGAATTAATGGACTGGGGGCATAACTCAGTGGTACTATGATAGCATAACCCACTCTAGGCCCTTGGTTCAATGTCCAGCCCCACAAGAAAAAAAGGCATGAGTTGGTAACAATTACCTAAATAACACCTCACTCTTTTTTTTTTTTTTTTTTTTTTTATTTATTTATTTATTTATTTTAGAGAGAGAGAGAGAGAACTTTAATATTTATTTTTTAGTTCTCGGCGGACACAACATCTTTGTTTGTATGTGGTGCTGAGGATCGAACCCGGGCCGCACGCATGCCAGGCGAGCACGCTACCGCTTGAGCCACATCCCCAGCCCCAACACCTCACTCTTAACTTATTAAAGAAATAAGCTGGGTGCCCAGAGGCTTGGGAGGCTGAAGCAGGAGGATCATGAGTTCAAACCAGCCTCAGCAACTTAGTGAGACCTTAAGCAACTCAGCGAGACCCTGTCTCTAAATAAAATATTAAAAAGGGTTGGGAATGTGGCTTAGTGGTTAAGCACCTCTGGGTTCAATCCCCATATCAAAAAAGAAAGAAAGAAGCTGGGTGCAGTGGTACATGCTTGTAACCAGGCTGAGGCTGAGGCAGGAGGATTGCCAAGTTCAAGGCCAGCCTCAGCACTTAGCAAGGCCCTAACCAACTAGCAAGACCCTGTCTCAAAAGGGAAGTTGGTGGTATCTTGACCATGATCTGCGCAGGCAAGACAAACTGGGTTTAAACAGGCTGGCTGCAACCTTCAACTAAGAAAAACGTGGCGAAAGATCACACAACACAGAAACAATTTTGGAATCAAGGGTAGGACGACGGCTCTTTGACCTTAAGGGTCAAGCTTCCATGCTGGAAAGAGAGCTCGAGCCCGCATTTCCTTTATTTTCTAGCAGGGACATCAGAGGCAGGGATAAGTTTTCAAGAATGAAGTCTTGCTTCTTGATGTCTTGTGGTCAGCAGATTGATTGACATCTTGGCAAGTCACACCCATCTCAGGTGCTGTGTGGGATCTTAGGCAGAGCTAGAGGTGGAGGCTCACCTGCATCATGCGATCAATCCCCTACAGGGAGTTTGCCAGTGCCAGACCTATCCCCTCATTTGGCTACTGTGCGCAATAGTCCACACACACACAGCCCATGGATGGCTTGTGACAGTGGTAAACCCCTGGGTTCAGTCCCCAGTAGAAAGAAAGAAAGTGAGTGGAAGGAAAGAAGTAGGAGTTCTGTCAGATTTGTTTAGTATTTTAAAACTTCTTAAGGCCAGGAGAATAGCTTAGGGCTTACCTAGTATGCCAGGTTCAGTGTTTAACACACACACATACACACACAAAAAAAAACTTGTCCTTTTGCTAATGGAATTCGGAATTTCTTGGGGAAGATACAATTGAGACCACCGGTCTGGAACAAATAATTACCATCACAAAAAGAGAGGCTACCAGATACTATATGCCTCCTAATAAATGAACACAACACTTTATGAAATAGTCTTATTAAAAATTGCACTTGAGAGGCTGGGGTGATGGCTTAATGGTAGAGCACTTGCCTCACATATGTGAGACACTGGGTTCGATCCTCGGCACCACATCAAAATAAATAAGTGAAATAAAGGTATTGTGTCCAACTATAACTAAAAAATAAATAAATATTTTTTAAAATTTTTAAAAAGATAATTTAAAAAAAATTTTTTAAATGCACTTGAGCTGGTTGCAGTTATATATGCTTGTTATCCCAGCTAACTCAGGAGCCTAAGGTTACAAATTTGAGACCACCCTGGAAATTCAGTGAGACCCTGTCTGAAAATTCAGTGGTAGATCATCCCCAAGTTAATACCCAGTACCCAAAAATTGTATTGAATAGCCCATGGTTGTAACTCAGTGGTAGAGTACTTGCCTGGCATGGATGAGACCTTTTATTTGATCCCCAGTTCTGCAAAATAAATAAAGTAGAGCAGAAGAGGGAGATTCAGACACATTCAATCAGTGTAAGGACTGATTCAAACAAATGAAAGTTGGAGGAACTTGATCAGGGAAATTTGAATATTGACAAGATATCTGATGACATTGAGGATTTATTTAAAAAATTAAGGTAGAATGATAGATTTCTGATTTTGGTTATAAGAAATCTTTATCTTTTAGAGGAGATATGTGGTGAGTTGTATTTTGTTTATTTGTTTGTTTTCTGGTGGTAGGGGTTGAACCCAAGGGCACTTAACTACTGAGCCACATCACATCCCTAGTTCTTTTCTTATTTTCCAATTTGAGATAGAGTCTCGCTGAGTTGCTTAGAGCCTTGTTAAATTGCTGAGACTGACTTTGAAATTTCGATCCTTCTGCTTTAGCCTCTCAAGCTGCTGGGATTACACAAGCGTGCACCACACACCTGGCCTAATTTTTAATTGAGACAGGGTCTCTCCAGTTGTTCAGGGCCTTGCCAAATTTTGAAATTGGCCTTAAATTTATGATCCTCCTGCCTAGAGTTGGGATTATAACATGAGCTTCAACATCCAGATTTTTTGGGTGGGAGAGTACTGGGGATTGAACCCACAAACTCTTAACCACTGAACTACATCCCCAGCCCTTTTTGTATTTTACTGAGACAAGGTCTCACTGACTTATTTAGGCCTTGCTAAATTGCTGAGGCTAGCTTTGAACTTGTGATCCTCCTGCCTCATCCTCCCAATCCACTGGGATTATAGGCATGCACCTCTGTGCCCAACCAGTTTTCGGAATTATTAAAATAAAGGGGGCCAGGGTTGTGGCTCAGTGGTAGAGCACTTGCCTAGCATGCATGAGGCACTGAGTTCGATCCCCGGCACCACATAAAAATAAATAAAGGTATTGTGTCCATCTAAAACTAAAATATATAAAGGGTTGGGGATAGGCCAGATGCAGTGGCGCACACATGCCTACAATCCCAGCGGCTCTGGAAATTGAGGCAGGACAATCAAGAGTTCAAAGCCAGGGCTGGGATTGTGGCTCAGCGGTAAAGTGCTCGTCTAGCACATGCCAGTTCCATCCTCAGCACCACATAAAAATAAATAAACAAAATAAAGGTATTGTGTCCAACTACTTCTAAAAAATAAATATTTTTTAAAAAGAGTTCAAAGCCAGCCTCAGCAGTGGTGAGACACTAAGCAACTCAATGAGACCCTGTCTCTAAATAAATTACAAAATAGGCCTGGCAATGTGGCTCAGTGGTTGAGTGCCCCTGAGTTCAATTCCCTGGTACAAAAAAAGGGGGCAAGCTGGGTATACATCTCAGTGTTAAGAGTGCTTGCTTAGCATGAAAGGCCCTGTGTTTGATTCCCAGTACCAGAAAACAAAACAAAATAAATACCACAGTGTTGTAAGTCATGTTAGAGTGATAAAAGATCATAATTAAACATATTGGGGTTGAGTCCTGACTTTGGCGTGTAACTGAATACTGGGGGCTCGGTTCTGTCATCTGAAATGGTGGTTATTATAGTAAGAATTGGGAATAATGTTTTAATGTACATGAGAAACTATTACAAATCACTTAGTGTGGTGCCTGAGTCATAATAGCTTACTCAGTAAATATTTATTATTATTACTATTCCATACTTCAAAACATACTCAATATGTAACCACCAACCCAAATAGCCCATTCTCTAGAGAACAAATACTATCCCTACCTAATTCTTCTTTGATAGTGGTAATTTTTTTCTTCTTCTTCTTCTTTCTTTTTCTCATCAGTTAATATATGAAGATTGTATGGATCTCATCGCAAAACTACCTTGTGTTGCTGCAAAGATCTACCGGAATCTCTACCGGGAGGGCAGCAGTATTGGGGCCATTGACTCTAAGCTGGACTGGTCCCACAATTTCACCAACATGTTAGGCTATACTGATGCCCAGTTCACTGAGCTCATGCGTTTATACCTCACCATCCACAGGTGAGCTAGACTTGGCAACCATAGTCACCATATTCCTATATCAATAGGAAATTTTTTTGAAAGCTCTTGAATCTTGTCATTTTCTGGCTACAGATGGTCTGCATTAAGTAGATGGGAAAATGTTGTAAAGGATGATGCGAAACAAGAAAATGGCCTAGAATGGAAGGTTAAGTCCTAGGGAAATTACTACCAACCCTGCTAAGAATTAGATGGTGTTTCTGGGAAAAGGAACTAGCTGTAAACATTAAATGGTCCTTCAACTTTCCTGGAGCTCCCTCTTCTGGCCACTGTTATTAAAAGTGGGAGCCTAGGGCTGGGGAATATATAGCTCAGTTGGTAGAGTGTTTGCCTCCCGTGTATAAGTCCCTGGGTTCAATCCCCAGCCCCCAGCACCCAAAAAAAAAAAAAATGGTGGGAGCCTGGGGCTGGGGATATAGCTCAGTTGGTAGAGTGCTTGCCTCACATGTACAAGGCCCCAGGTGCAATCCCCAGCACCACCAAAAAAAAAAAAAAAATGGGAGCCTGGCATGGGATGTAGCTCAATGGTAATGTTTGCTTAGCACATTCAGAATCCTAGGTTCTATTCTCAGCACTAAGGCAGGGGGTTGTGGGGAGCTGGAGTGGTTGTGGTAGAATCAGGGAGCTGAGCACACAGACATCATCAACCAGTAACTCTTCAGCTCTGTAGCTTAGGGAACAAAAGCTGATGATGAGATTAGGGTCTTTTTATAAATGCTTAGGTATAATTGACTGGCTATAGGCTGGTGTGAGCCCATAAGTAAGTAAGATGTGACAAATAAATTATCAGCAAGGTCTATGTTTCTATAAGTTGGCAAAGATGTGTCAGGTGAAAAGTTAAGAGACTACATCTGTCTTTTCTCCCCTTGGCTCTCCCTTATTTTACCATAGTGACCATGAAGGTGGCAATGTAAGTGCCCATACCAGCCACTTGGTGGGCAGTGCGCTTTCAGACCCTTACCTGTCCTTTGCAGCAGCCATGAATGGGCTTGCAGGACCTCTACATGGACTGGCGAATCAGGTAAGATTATTTTCTTGCTCCAGGTTTTTCTTATCCCCATATCTGTACCTCATCTTAGCATTTTCTCCTGACATATGTATTAACATTCCTTTTTTCCCCCAAACCTTAACCCACAGGAAGTACTTGTCTGGCTAACACAACTACAGAAGGAAGTTGGCAAAGATGTGTCAGATGAAAAGTTAAGAGACTACATCTGGAACACACTCAATTCGGGACGGGTAAGTTCCCAAGTTCTGTGTCCTGTAATTTGGAAGAATTAAGAAGGAAAAAAATGAGAGGGCCCCTAAATTAGACATGCATGTGCATAGTTCCCCATTTGACTACCCTAAAAAAATTTTTTTTTTTTAATTTTGTGGTTGTGGAGATTTAACCCCAGGGCACTCTACCTCTTAGCTACATCCTTAGCTTTTATTTCTTCAATTTTATTTTGAGACAGGGTATGACTACCGTACTAAGGCTGGCCTCCAACTTGCAATCCTCTTGCCTCAACCTTCTGAGTTGCTGGGATTACAGGTGTGCACCACCATGGTTAGATAAAAATGTCTACCTGAGGATACCAATCATCTTTTTTTCTTCACCCTATATAGGTTGTCCCAGGCTATGGTCATGCAGTTCTAAGGAAGACAGATCCACGATATTCCTGTCAGCGAGAGTTTGCTCTGAAACACCTACCCAATGACCCTATGTTCAAACTTGTTGCTCAGCTGTATAAGATTGTGCCCAATATCCTCTTGGAGCAGGGAAAGGCTAAGAATCCTTGGCCGAACGTAGATGCTCACAGTGGGGTGTTGCTCCAGGTGAGTCCTCCCTTTGCTGCTTTCCCTTTCATTGTACCATATTCTACTTTTCTCTGCTGTGTACACAGTCAACTCCCTCATCAAAACAGGACTCTCCCCTCCTTCACAGAACCTTCTGACAGTTGTCTGTGGCAGGGGTGGGGGCTGGGGTTCTTTCTTTTCAGAATCGCAATTGCCATACCTCTGTTATTTCTATTTAAGACTGAGCCAAGTCCTTAGAGAACAAGGGGGAACAGACCTCATCACCCTAGACTTGTACATATCACTGCTTCTGGATCTATAACAAAACTTTTTTCTCTTCTGTCTTACAGTATTATGGCATGACGGAGATGAATTACTACACAGTCCTCTTTGGGGTGTCACGGGCACTGGGTGTATTGGCACAGCTCATCTGGAGCCGAGCCCTAGGCTTCCCTTTAGAAAGGCCCAAGTCCATGAGCACGGATGGTTTGATGAAGTTTGTGGACTCTAAGTCAGGGTAAAACTGGAGACTGAGGGGAAACTGACTACCGAAGATGAGGAAGCTTAAAAAAAGTATACTTTTGTTTTGTTTCAGGGGGCCCTTTAAAGATTTAAGATTAAATTGTATCTGAGGCACTGAAAATAACGTTTGACGTTAAAATATAAATTAAGACTTTAAAAGATGAAAAGTGACCCCTTCTTCCCTAACCAGTTCCCTTTCCTTCCTGGTACAAGTTGCCCATCAACTATAGGATAACCAGGACTAATGCATGTGATATGGGTTAGGTTTGGCCCCCTACCTTCTCTGGAGTGAGAATATGACTCCACTTCCCTGAGTCAAAGCAAGTTGCAAAGAATCTGCAGTCACTCTGGAGTCTCTGCTTTTATCTGCCCAGCCCTCTGGGCCAGCAAGCCAGGACTCTTCCCCTTCTGTTTCCATAGGAATCATGTTGGATTATCAGCTATACCAAGCCCCATGGCCTTCTCTTATGTACACAAACACTTCCTAGCAAGACCTCTTGGTTAGCTAGACATACTGTGGCAATTTTTTTTTTAACGCTGCTAAGTGACCATAAAGGTGTGATATTTGTTGACAACTGATACCCAAAGTTTCTTTTTTAAAAAATTATCCCATTAAAATTAAGGTCTGGTAGGATTTTTTCCACTATTTTAATGCCTTCTTCCAGACTTTCTATACCTGCTATGCCTCAAGCTGAGGATGCTCTGGACCTTCCCTTCTTGTTCTCTACCAGAGACCTCTTTTAGCAGGTTTGTCAGATCTGTGGTCTTTTCCAGTCATTTGGCTTTATCAGTGCTTAATGTGAATTAAACTTTTTACTTCCACAGAACATAAGCCACTACAATGACTTCTTTTTCTCCTGTGTTAATACACTGTGGGGCATAGAACAATGGGCTCAGGAATGGCCAGTTCCTTTATGATCTGGTCCCAGGGGTACTAGCATTTCTTTTTGAACAGAGAAATTATTCAAGATTGGATATGACTTCCTTCAAGTATCAGGTCTTAGCGCTTGGGGCACTCAAAAGAGTAGTAGACCTTCCTCATCCTGTCACAAGAAAATGTTCCCTTATTTATCAATGTCTTTTCCTGCCCCATCCCAAGAGCTTGCAGTACAGTGTTTGTTTTAGAAGCCCCATTTGCACAGGTTTTCAGTGACTCAGAATGCTCTACTGCCTTTTCTTTGAGAAAGGATTGAGATACACTCCTGTTGTGCCCCTTTCTTCCCTCAAAACTCCTGCCTGTGTTTGTGTGGATCCCCAAACCCCAGAACCACGCTGTTGAGATGGACACACTGTAAACCCCTGGGTGACTCTCAAGTCATGATACAGACTTCAGGGTATTCTGTATAAAATAAAAAATAAATGTTTTTATTAATAATGTTTGAGCCTGCTAATAAGTCCTGGAAGAATCTTTATTATGATGAGGTAAGGAGTCTGACTAGCAAGATCCTAAACTTAACAAGTCCTAAGTTATCCTGTGCATCCTTTTTTTTTTCCAGTGCTGAGAATCGAACCCAGTGCCTCACACATGCTAGGGAAGTGTTCTACCACTGAGCCACCACCCCAGCCCCAAAACTGCTTGAAGATAAAAGCAGTTTTGGTATTCAGAGGAAGGGCTTCCTGTGAGATTTCCAAAGGAGATTTCTGTCTCTCCTTACTGTTAGGAAGTTCTTTACCTTTAGCTCCCATCCTTTCTAATTTTGTTATAATGTGGAACATCCAAGGACTATAGCTGAGACCTAACAACTGCTTGTATGACTAATCCAAGAAGTGGTTTGGCCCACTGAGTGAAAGGAACAAATCATATATCAAGGACAAATGATCTAGGACTGCTAGTTAAAGGACCTGAACACTAGAGGGCTCTGGTATGTCCTGGAGTGCCAACTCTTAGCTTTCCTTAAGGCATTCCCCCAAATGACAAAGGGTGATCCTGAAGGCATCAGATATATGGAAAGTCTGAAACGAGATGATTCTGTTCTGGAGATTCCTCCTGCAACTGATCTGAAAAAGTCTATAAATAGGTAAGGGGGTGGGTACTAGATCCTGGCCTGTAGAATGTGCTACTATAGTTAGCAGGGACACTGTGTCCAAGAGGCCTTTTTACACCTTTACTCCCCCATCACTTTCTTCTACTCTGCTGTATCTATGTTGTTTGCCCAAGAAACAATACAAAAAAGGCAAATTCACACTCAAAATTTATTGAAATTTTTATAAAAACTCAGGCCAAGTGGAGGAATATGGTACAACCAAAGAGTACAAGGATAGTTTTGTTCATTGCTTTTTTTTTTCCTCCTTGGCCCTATTGCTGTGATGGTGAGACAGCTCCTCACTCTGTTAGCCAGGCAGCATGGAAATATTCTTAAAACTGAGGCAATATGGATTTCAAGCTGGGGGCAGATTGCCTTTTTTCCTGAGAAATCTCAAGCCAGGCAAAAATTATATACCACCCAATATCACTATGCCAGAGGAAAAGTTTAATGTATTCAAGCCTTCAAGAAGTTGATCTCTTTCCCTGGTCAGATACTATGGTCTCCTGACAGGGCTCAGAGAACCACATAGTCCTGATCCTAATTCAGTGTGAAAAGGTTGCAGGCACATGGAGCTTTCAGAATAAACCTGACCCTTTCCTAGGCATGTGTCATTTCCATATTCATCCTCACTGCCTCCTCCCTCCCCCAACATTTCCAGTCAGTGTAGAGCCTAACTTCTGGGGAATTGAGAAGAACATTGTCATAAATAGTCCAGTCCAATCCTCAGACTGGAGCAGGAGCCAAGCCAAATAAATAAGAATTGGGTGGGAAGGGGGAGTAGAGGAGACGTTAGGGAACAATCTTTTGCGTCAAGTATGGTGCACCTCATGGAACATCAATTCACGGGGGATGGCTGTTTCTGGACCAAACTTGGTGGCTGCCCGGCGCTCGAAGGCAGCAACATTCTGTTTGACAACCTCATCAAAAAACATGGTGGCCAGCTGGGAGTGCAGCAGAGAACGAAATTCAAAGGAAATCTGGGAATGTGGAAGAGACAAATTCTTCAAAACCACATTAGGTTGTCCTTGGGCAAATGCAAGGATACTATTCCTCAGTGCCTTTATTCCCAGTCCCCTCCAGTTCTTTAAACCCTCTCAAGAGTCCTGACTTAGGACTGAAAAGAGTACAAGTCTATATAAACTCAGACTTGTGAAACCCATAAACTTGGCAAATGCTTAGTACTAAATATACTTAAAGAATAACCCTGTCACAGTACCTCAGCTCTGTTCTCACACTCAGTTTTAGACCTGGGCTGCAAAGTCTTCTGACTCACCGAAAAGTCCACAGTGCAGGTCCGGGGGTAGGCAGGAATACCAGGGCTAAATCGCCAAATAGTCTCTAAGTGGTTGAAGAGCTTGGCGTCAGTACAAACAGCCTAGAATAAGACAGCTAGTTAAGCCATATCACTATGTATAGGAGGCAATAAGATGGAATTAAAAGCCAATTTTCTTCTAATACTGAGGAAATACTTGATATGAGGTGATAAAGTCATTATGAGGAAAGCCAAAATATCCTTTTGTGTGTGTGTGTGTGTATCAGGGATTGAACTCAGGGACACTGGACCACTGAGCCACATCCCCAGTCCTATTGTATTTTATTTAGAGATAGGGCTCAATGAGTTGTTTAGTGCCTCACTTTTGCTGAGGCTGGCTTCAAACTTGGCGATCCTCCTGCCTCAGTCTCTTGAGCCACTGGGATGACAAGCTTATGCCACCGTACCCGGCTCCAAAATCGCCTTTAAATGTGAAAATGTTAAGAGAAAAAACCTGGTCAATCCCTCCCCAGCAGGCCTCACCTTGACCATGTGAGGTTTGACCATGGAAACTGCAGAGGTATAACGTTCCACTATAGGTGGAAAGCCAACCTCCAACTGGGCCTTAAGGTGACCCTTACGGCTGGATACCACCAGAGACTTCTTACACCAAGGCACAAACTCGCGATACTCCTGGACGTTGGACACCACTTCAAACATTTCCTGCATTGAGTACCTAAGGGAAAAGGAATCAGAGAAGCCAAGAAATTGCCAGCTGGGCCAGGTTCCCCCTTGCCATTGCCCCTGAATTCATATCTTGCCTGCTAACCATACACCTTCAGGCATTAGAAATCTTAAGACTGGACAAATGGTTTTTCCAAAAGCAAACATGTACAAGTCCCCATGATGTTAATTTACCTTATGTTTTGTAAGTTGCAGAATGCTTTTACATTTATTATTATTATTATTATTACTATTATTATTTTGGTGCTGAGGGTTACATTCATTATTTTTATCTTAGGAAAATTTTAGGGATAAGAGATGGTCAGTTTTACTGTTGATCTCACTAGGGTCAGATCCCAGTTCTACAACTTACTTTCTTTCTTTCTTTCTTTCTTTCTCTCTCTCTCTCTTTCTCTCTTTCTTTCTTATTTATTTATTTAGAGGCAGGGTCTCCCTGAGTTGCTTAGGGCCTCCCTGAGTTGCTGAGGCTAGGTTTGAATTCACAATCCTCCTGCCTCAGCCTCCCAAGTCGCTGGGATTACAGGCATGCATCACTGTGCCCAGCTTCAGCTCTACAGCTTCCTAACAGTGTGACCCTAGGTAAATAACCTGTGTCTCCATTTTCTCATCAAGTACCTGATTCATAGGTTTGTTATGATAATTAAATGAGACATTTTATGTAAAATACCTAAGCAGCCTGGTTGCTACACTTGTATTGTGCTCGAAATACATTTTTGAAAAAGTTATCAGACAAATAATACCCTCTCATCGTGTTATATTATATCCATATGGTCCAATTCTAGGCTTATTTCACTCAATGCTCATGCATAGCAACAAAAGAGGGAAATTGAGATTGGAAGGATGGAAGGGGAGAATAAAGGATCAGTAACATATCTGTGGAGTGGGGTGGCCAGAGGTGAATCTCGTCCACCATTGGTACATTTATTATATCCTGGACATGGTTATTTGGAAAGGAAGAGGGGTGGGGATATGCAGGTCAGAAGAGGATGCTCACCCCATGATCCTACGCTCTGAGTAAGCCTTTCGCTTGTTGGTGAAAGGGGCAGCAAAGCCCATGAAGGAACGACTGGGAGTTAAGCCAGTCTCAGCTGCAGAAACCTGGGCACCTCGGGGCAAGAGGAGGCTGTAGGGGATCAGAAACCTAAGGCCAATAAAAAGGGAGAGGCAGCGTCACAATCTTTTTTTGTATTCTTCAACCATTTCCAGGGGAAGGGGAAGAGGGGAACATCCCAGAGGAAGGTCGTCCAGACAAGCTTTCCCCCCAGCACCTGCTGCAGTTCGCCTAGCTCCTTCGCCAGGCAGTCACGAGTGCGAAAGGTCTAGGGCGGTTGAGGACAGGACTAGGGTGGGGCTGGGAAAATGAGGGGTGCATGCGAAGCGCCAATTACCTCTGGGGCTACGCCATTGCTGAAAGCAAAACTCAGGGGCATCACTACCCCAAAGCCTCGCCCGACCCGTTATTGCCAGGGCATCCGCCTCGGCGAAGAATTGATTGGCACCCACCCAGAGCACTTTCCCTCGCATATAATTTGCAAAAGCATTCTCCAAAGTTCTACTTGAGCTTCCAGGGCACCACTACTGCCAGCCCCTGCCGCGTCCGCATCCCAGGACTACCACCCTCCACCGATGAACTTCGGGGTGCTGGTGGAACCCCTTTCCTTGCTAGCAGACGCCCTCACCTCCCTCTCACCTCATTGGTCGCAGCGGTCGCGGAGTGCCTGGGGGCGGGGCCGGGCGCGCGCCCTGGCGGATCGAGAAGCCGCCGCAGCTCTGGGCCATCGTGCGCGTCCCAGCTGGGAGCCGCCGCGCGCCCGCAGAGGCCATGCGCGCGACCCTTCCTGGCGCTCTGACGCCCGCTGCACCTCCTCACTCCAGAGCAGGAGCGGCAGAAAGGGCAACCCCGCTAGCTCAGCGCCCCGGAGCGCCGGGGTGGCGCGGGGCTTCGGCTCCTCTCGCCGTGCTTCCGCACGGGCCACCGGGTAGGCTAGAACTGAAGCCGTGACCGCAGCTCCCGGTACCCTCACGTCACGCCGTTGCCAGGGCTCGGGACCCGGAGAGGGAGGAAGGGAACAACGATGCCTGTCGGGAGATGTAGTTTCACACCTCTAGCGAGAAAGGGCATTGGGTGTGCGTTTGAGAGACAGCAGAGATGGCTCAGGGGAACGAGGTCACCAAGTAGAAATTTCTTGGCGAGTCTGTGGTCACAGGACCTAATACGTAGGCACCGAGACGACTTTGTGGCCGTGTCAACAGCAGATGTCTGTGAATGCTCTGAACGCCACTCTTAGATCTTTATCATTCTGCCTTTATGTTAGAAGCCCTTTTCATCCTTGTGACCTTCACAATGCCTGGTGCTATGCTTTATATCTTTGGAAAAAGAAATTAATGTTCCAAGCTCTGGTCTAAGACTACACAGTTTTCTCTTTTATATTTATAGAAAGAAGTTGCAGTGATAAGAAACAGACTTACTTTTAGGAGAGAGATCATCGTTGTCAGGAAAAGTGTGTATTCAATGAAGGATGAAAACTCACAGACAGAAATTCAGGCAAAGAAATATCAGTATACTCCTTTTCATAATTTACAGAGAAAACAGTTGCTCTTGATAGAGTGAGGACAATGAAAGAAAAAAGAGAGAGAAAGGAAAAAGAAATCAGTTAGAAAGAGACTGAATCTAGGTGGGTGCAAAAGCAATTGAAATCCTCCTCATGGTGGAGTGGAAGGATATTTTAAGACTAATGGCACCTACTGCTCAATAAGATGTTTATGCTGTTACAGTACAAGCTTTTTTTTTTTTTAGAGAGAGTGAGAGAGAGAGAATTTTAATATTTATTTTTTAGTTTTTGGCGGACACAACATCTTGGTTTTGTATATGGTGAGGAGGATCGAACCCGGGCCGCACGCATGCCAGGCGAGCGTGCTACCGCTTGAGCCACATCCCCAGCCCCACAAGCCTTCTTTTCTAAATCTTTCTTTCTAAAGCTTGCTTTCTAATCTTTAGTCAGGCTTTCCACATCAGAAGAGCTTTGCATAAGTGTTTTGTGTAGTGGTAGTCAGAAAAGGGCAGGGATAAAATAATGACTCATTTCAATGCAGATCTAATTGGTGTGGAAGAAAGACATCTTGCCCAGAAACAGGGGTCTGGAAGTATATATAAACCTTCCACCTCTGGGTTGGGGATTTAGTGCTCTGTGGCTGACCACTTGCTTAGCACACACAAGGCCCTGAATTCTATCCTCAGCACCAAAGGAGAAAAAAGTACCAGGTGCCAACAGACATGGTTGCAATCCCAGTAACTTGAAGTCTAAGGCAGGAAGATGTCAAGTTCAAAGCTAGCCTGGGAAATTTAGCAAGGCGCTGTCTCAAAATAAATAAATAAATAAATAAAGAGTGGGGTGAGGTGGGGTAGGGATCTGGCTCATTGGTAGATGACTTCTGGGTTCAATCACCAGTAAACAGAGAGAGAGAGAGAGAGAGAGAGAGAGAGAGAGAGAGAAGGGGAGCAACCTATGAATCCTCTAATTTCCCCTACCTCTTGACCTCTTGAAACTGACATTACTTTGGGGACTTCCACTAGATTCGAATTGATTTAAAATTTATACCCATCTTATCTGGAATTCAAGTTAGCAAGAACCATTCCTTGAACTGTCAGGCATTTTTTTTTTTTTAATATTTATTTATTTATTTTTAGTTTTCAGCAGGCACAACATCTTTGTTTGTATGTGGTGCTGAGGATCGAACCCGGGCCGCACGCATGCCAGGCGAGCGCGCTACCGCTTGAGCCACATCCCCAGCCCTGTCAGGCATTTTAACATTTGTTAGGAAGGTACTTTTATTCTTAAAGAGCAGGAACTTCACACAATTATATGATAAAGATGGAGCCCAGGTCTGGATGATCACCAAGCCCACTACCATTTTTGGGGAGGGGGAGTTTGGAATTGAGCCCATGGCCTCACTACATGATAAGCGTATTCTCTACCACTGAGCCGCACCCCTCCCACAGTGATCCCAAACCACTGTACTACCTCTGTAGTACTCAATACTAGCTTAATAAACAATTATTGGACTGGGGGGGTGTAGCTTGGTGGGACATTTAGCATGTTTGAGGCACTGGATTTTGTCCCCAGCATAAAAAAAAATTTAGCATGTTTGAGGCACTGGATTTTGTCCCCAGCATAAAAAATTGACCAAATGAGCCAGGCACAGAAGTGCACGTGTGTAATCTCAGCGGTTTGGAAGGCTGAGGTAGGAGGATCAAAAGTTCAAAGCCAGCCTCAGCAATTTAGCGAGGCCCTAAGCAACTCAGCAAGACCCTGTCTCTAAATAAAATATGAAAAATGACTGGGGATGTGGCTCAGTGTTTAAGTGCTCCTGGGTTCAATCCTTGTTACCAAAAAAAAAAAAAAATTGATCAAATGAATGTTTTAATGTTTCATCACCTTTCTTTGTTTTGTGGTACTGGAGACAGATCCAGTGAACAACATATCCAGGCCTCTTTCTTTCTTCCTTCCTTCCTTTCTTCTTTCCTACAGGGGATTGAACCCGGGGGCACTTAACCTCTGACTGTATCCCCAGCCCCGTTTTATATTTTATTTAGAGACAGGGTCTTGCTAACTCCCTGAGGGTCTCACTAAGTTGACCTCAAACTTGGCATTCTCCTGCTTCAGCCTCCCAAGTTGCATTACCACATGTGGCTAAATTTTTCTTTTTATAGGGACTCACTGAATTTTGGAGGCTGACCTTGAATTTTCAGTCTTCCTGCCTCACTTTCCTAAGTAGCTAGGATTACAGGCATTTGCCACTGGGAATGATTTTTTTTTTTTTTGGCACTAGGGATTGACCCCAGGGGCACTTAAACACTGAGCCATATCCCCATCCCTTTTTATTTTTTATTGTGAGACAGGGTTTCAATAAGTTGCTTAGGACCTTCTTAAATTGCTGAGGCTGGCCTCGGATTTGCAGTCCTCCTGCCTCAGCCTCCTGAGTAGCATGTGCCACAGCACCTGGCCTCATTTCTTTAATGCTGCTAATATCTTTTCCCCTAGCATTCAGAGAGAGCCTGTTATGTCCTCATATCCCATCCTTTCTCCTTACCATCATGGTATAGTATATTCTTCCAGTTCAAAGATGGTAATTTGAAGTCACCCCCAGATGGGCCTATGACCTTGAAGGACAGATTTATTCTGTCTAATTTCACTCTCTTGTCTGTCTCCACCTCCTCTGACTAAGGGCTTAACACATGCAATGCGAGACAGTTACTTATCTTGAGCAGTATGGATCTGGTTGGGAAAAGACAGAAATTAACTGGGATACATGACTGAACTGTGACCTCATTAATATACTGCCTTAACTGAGTTAAATGCTGCAGAATCCCCAAGGTCCAATAGACCTGCCAAGCAATTTGCTTGCTATCTCCCTACTAATTAGATTAGCTAATTACTGCCACTAAAACCTTTCCCTGTGCTTGAAACAACCAATTCCCTGTATGTCCATGCCATTCTGTATCAATAACTGCCTATGAGTACTGACTGAAAACATACCTCTTCCAGGAAGAGCCTCTTGACTGAACCCATCCCTCAACGTTACCCTGAACAGATAATTCCATGTAAACTAGCATGTATCCTATATTTGTTTCATGTATATGTGTGTGTTCTTCTAAATTGTAAACTCAAAAAAAAAAAAAAAGACACTACAACTTCTACCTCCCAATCAGTATGGCTGCTATGCACATGGTGAATCTTGAAAAGAATTAAAAAACCAAAGTTTAACTCCTAGAGATAAAGATAAATTCAACAGTTAAATCCAGGACTTTTGCATAGGAAGGTTTTGTTGACAGGTGCAGTGATATATGCCTGTAATCTCAGCAACTGGGGAGCCTAAGGCAGGAGGATTGTAAATTAGAGTCTAACCTTGAAAATTTAGCAAGACCCTGTGTCAAAATAAAAGGCAAAAAGGACTAGAGATGTAGCTCATTGGTAGAGCACCCCTGGTCCCCAGTATCAGGGGGGGAAAAAAAGGAAAGAGAGAGCTTTCCAGTTGTGTCTTCTTCCTCTTGTTACATTTTTTAACATTATTATTTTTTTTAGTTGTAATGGACACAATATCTTTATTTTATTTATTTCTTTTTATGTGGTGCTGAGGATTGAACCCAGTGCCTCATCCATGGGAGGCAAGTGCTCTACCACTGAGCTATAGCCCCAACCCCTCTTATTACTTTTGTGTGTCACACTGAGCCCTAGAAGTACCAATGTTACCTACGTCGTCACTTTATTGCTTTGAATATTAAAAATAACCCTTGTAGGGAGAAATGAATGACAGTAGAGGGGGTAGAGAGAAAAGAGGGGAGGGGAGGGGAGGGGAGGGGGGATAGTAGAGGATAGGAAAGGCAGCAGAACACAACAGACACTAGTATGGCAATATGTAAATCAATGGATGTGTAACTGATGTGATTCTGCAATCTGTATATGGGGTAAAAGTGGGAGTTCATAACCCACTTGAATCAAAGTGTGAAATATGATATATCAAGAAATTTGTAATGTTTTGAACAACCAACAATAAAAAAATTAAAAAAAAAAATTAAAATAACCCTTGTAGGGTAGGGGCTGTAGCTCAGGGGCAAAGCACTTGCCTAGCATGTGTGAGGCACCGGGTTCAATTCTCAGCACCACATAAAATAAAGGTCCATCAACATCTTAAAAAAATAAATAAAATAAAGGCATTCTGTTTGTCTACAACTACAAATAACAACAACAACAACAACAACAACAACACTTTTAGCTTCTTCCTCTTTCCAGCTGCCTAGAGAACCAGGCTGGCAACCTCCCTTGTTCACCTCCACCCCTGTGCCAGAACCAGGCACGTGACCCCAGCTGAACCCTTGACTGCAATTCCTCAGGTTACCAAGAGCTATTTTGGGCAGTAGAGACCATGTATTTCCCTCCTCCTCTCCTCTGGGTCATATCCTAGCTTAGCCTTTCCTGGAAGATCCTTCATACCCAACGCCCAAGCAGACAAGTTCAAATGTTGTATCCATCGGATACTCAGCT